CGTTTCAAACGAAACTGGGCGCAAACCAGGCCAGACTGGGGCCGAAACATGTAAATTCTGACGATGTCTGATGCAGGGCGCGCGGCCAAACCAGGCCAAGCCGGGCCAAAGCATGCCAAACCAGGGGTCAAACCAGGCAGATTTTGAGTATGTCCCAGGCAGAATCGCCCAAACCAGGAGTGGATCATCCCAGGGCCCCCCCCCATGCAGGCGGAACCCCCTTTAGAATTTGACGGGGGGGCGGGCGGTTTGACCGCGCGCCCGCTGATGTGGACGGGGTTGGGCGCAGAAGCAGTCCATTTGTCTTTCAGGTGTTATTGGGGTCTTGGTGTCATTTACAGCAAAGCAATGACAAGCAATGGAGAGCAGCTGTTGTTCTGGTACATGAGAGAATACCTCGAGAACTCCGATTTCTGAGGGCTGCGGCCCATTCCGCCCATCCTTCCGGGGACGCGCTGCGGCGCGATGGTGGCGGTTCGTTCGTTCGTTCGATCGTTGGGGTCTTGGTGTGGCTTCAGGAAAAATTCTTCCGAGCCTGTAGCACAAGTCGAACCGAGGGTTTGCAATTGTTTTCGGTTGCCTCAGGACCGCCAAAAAGGCGCAGGATTGAAAGCCGATGCTGGGGCGTCGGGACTTCGGGGATCACATGCAAGCGAGACATTGGATGTCTGGGAAGAGTCCGCGACGTCGGTGGCTGCACATGTGCCGGAAACCCAGAGCCGAGTCAGTTTTCAAGGACCTCCCCGTCGTCCTCCTGCTCCACCCTCCCTCCTCCCTCCTCGTCCTCCTCGTTTTCCGCCTCCTCGTCCTCCTCCCACTCGAACGGTAGCCTACTAGCCCTTCCTGCTGTCCGCCTTGAGGTTCTCCCCTCTCCGCTACCCTTCTGGCTCGGGCACGGAGGTCGGCCGACCTCCGTGCCCGTTTTAGACGCGTAGTCGTTCCGTATTCGGTACAAGCGCATCTTCGCTTAACGTACACCCGTTTTCATGTTCTGACTGTGAGCCCGCCTTTCTGGCCGTCCACCACATCCTCCTTATACATCATACCTCATCTCTTTTCCTTCGCTTGACCGGGCGCGGGGGGGATTGAAGATGAAGATGAAGATGAGGATGACGACGACGATGATGATTACGATGCTGATGCTGATGTTGTGCTGTTGGTGCTGCTGCTGATGATGACGAGTCTGCTGTGAATGGTGGTGACGATAAGTGCGATGATGATTTTAATCATGATGATGATGGCGATGATGGTAATTATAATGCGGCTGACACTGAGGTTAATGATGAAGATTATGCTGAAGATGTTCGTGAGGCTGATGATGATAATGCGGATGATGATGATACTGATAATCACGAGGAGGAGGAGGACGAGGAGGAGGAGGAGAAGAAGGACGAGGAGGAGGAGGAGAAGAAGGAGGACTGTACCACAAAATTGCTGCGGCGGTGAGATGTGCTGCGAGGTCGTCGCCCTGGATTGTCCGCCTCGGCCACGCGGCAAGAATACACGATCGCATGCGCCACGGGAGGATCAGGAACATTGCCCAAGCGGCCTCCACTGCTTGACCATACTAGCTCGGCAGCGTCGTGTGAAATCCGCTCCAGAAGGTTATGGCGATGGTGGTGCTGATTGTTGTGGCGGTTCGAATGATGGTGCTGATGATGATGGTGCTGATGGCGACGATGATGATGATGATGATGATGATGATGATGATGATGAGGATGATGATGATGATGATGATGATTCTGATGATTCTGATGATGATGCCGATAACGACGATGACGATGACGATTACGACGACGATGATGAAGCTGATGCTGATGCTGAGGATGATGTTGATGATTATGATGCTGCTGATGATGGTGAGTATGCTGATGATGCTGCTGATGATGCTGCTGATGCTGGTCATGATGCCGTTAATGATGATGATGATGATGATGATGATGATGATGATGATGATGATGATGATGATGATGATGATGATGATGCTGATGCTGATGATGATGATGATGATGATGATGATGATGACGATGATGCTGATGCTGATGCTGATGTTGATGATGTCGATGCTGATGATGCTGCTGCTGCTGATGATGATGATGATGATGATGATGCTGCTGATGATGATGATAGTGATGGGGACGTTTGGCAATGACAGTGCTGACAACCATGATGATACACACGATGCTGACGACGACGGCGATGATGCCGGTCGCGATCGGGATGATGGCGATGACGATTGTTGTGCCGATGGCGATGATAAACTTGTGGTGATGACGACGACGGTGATGCTGCAGATGGTGATTGTTACGGTGGTGTGGAAGGGGGGGGTGAGTGTGAGAAGGGCGAGCAAGACGAGGCGTCTGAGGCGTTGAAGTGTGTATCTGTGTTTACGCGTGTGTGTGTGTGTGTGTATGCGGATCCGCTGCGTCCCTGGTCGGCCCCTCTCTCGTCCCCCCCCTCTCCTTCTCTTTGATCCCGAGAATTCCAGTGCGCTCGAGCACGAGGGTCTGGACTACTTTCCGCTCCCTCTCGCTGCCTCCATCGCCCCCCTCGTCGTCCCCCCTCGCGGCTGCCTTCCCGTGAGTCGCGCTGCGGTTCCCGATGGGTGAGCCTTCTACGCCCTGCTGCCGTTGTGAGCTGGCCGGCTCGCCGCACTCCCTCGGTTACTCTGGGTTGCTTGATTCCTCCGCGTTGCCGCTTGCGTGGCCGCGATGCCAAGAAGTGTGCGGGTGGGTGAAGGGGGGGGGTTGGCGGCGCGCTGAGGGGGGGAAGGATTCTTCGAAGCGCCCCTGCATATTAGAAGGCGCGGGCCTTTTCTGTAAATGTAAGGCCCGCGGTTTCTAAGGAGCAGCGTCCTTCTGAGAAGCCTTCCCCCTCCCCCTTACCCCCCTCTGCGCGCCGCCAAGGGGGGCACCTTGGTCGAACCTCCTGGATGTGTGCGGGGGGCGCAGGAGTCCTTCCGGCAGCGGGAGCTGGCGCGCGCGGACGAGTTCCGCGCCGCGCAGGGCGAGGTGCGCAAGCTCGAGGCCGCGGGCGGCCGAGGAGAGGCAGCGATGCGGGGAAGGGCAGGAGAAGGTTGGGGGGATTCCGAGGAAGGGGGGGGGAACTTCGAGGGAGGAGGGGTGGTGGTGGAAGTTTCGAGGGGACAGGAAGGATAGGGGCACGGATGGGGAGATGGGGAGGATGAGGGAGTGGCCTCCGGCGAGGGAGAGGAAGCGGAAGGGGGAAGCGGGGAGGGATCGGACGAGGGAAAGGGAACAGAGAGGAAAGGGAGGAGGAGGAGGAGGAGGAGGAGGAGGCGGAGGAGGAGGAGGAGGAGGAGGAGGAGGAGGTGGTCGAGGAGGAGGAGGAGGAGGACGAGGAGGATTTGGTTTTGTTCCTCCCCTCCTCAACGGCAGCGTTACTTCTGCCCCTCTGGGCTTCTTTTCTCTGCCTGCTCCTCTGCTATTTCCACTCCCAGGTCTGCACGCGCTGACGGGCGAATGGCTGTATTGCCCTTCGCCGAAGTCGGCATCCATTTTTCATATGAGCGCTACAGCCACGACGCTCAAGCTCGCCCAACGTACAAGGAGGAGGAGGAGGAGGAGGAGGAGGAGGAGGAGGAGGAGGAGGAGGTGGAGGACCAGTGACGTCCTACGCCTCCCTCCCATCCCTTACCATGGCGTAGATATCTTCTCTATCCGTAAGGGCTTCGCCCCCTGCCGCCGGCCCCCTCTCTATCATAATGTGATACATCAGAGCTATGTTGGGATGTTCGGGCGCCGTCTTGATGACATTCGGGAGCGTCATGCTAGGGCGGCTGGCGATGAGCAAAACAGATTGAGACGTTGAAGTTGTTGTTGAACGCTTTGTTGCCTTCTTGACATTTTCCTCCAGTTGTTCACTGGAAGCGCTCTGGGAACGGCGTGGGACTGCCTCAGGCAATCTCTGGGAAGGTTTTTTTTCTGCTCTGGAGAAGGAGTGGCGCCTTTGGGCAGCTTTCGCGAGGTGGATTCGCAGCGTGGGGGGTGCGCGCGAATTTGGTGCCTCGGGGACGCGAATTTAGCGTGATTTACGGGGGATCGTGGCCTGGTGGGCGCGACAGCGTCGTAATTTACGAGGGATCGTTGCCTCGGGGGCGCGAATGGGGCGTAATTCACGCGGGATCGTGGCCTCGGAGGCGCAAATGTGGCGTAACTTACGAGGGATCGTGGCCTGGGGGGGTGAATGTGGAACCCACCGCCGAATTGTCCAGAAACGAGGGGGGTGGGGGATGGCAAAAGAATACCAGCGGAACACATATCTCAATACAGGAAATTGTTGTTTTTCTGCTTTGGAGAGGGGGAGCGCCTTTTCGGCAGCCTCCGCAAGGCTGATTCGTGGCCTCGGGGGCGCGCCCGCTGCGTAATTTACTAGGGATCGTGGCGTCAGGGGCGCGAATTTGGATCGTGGCCTCGGGGGCGCGAACATGATGTATTACTTTGGATCGTGGCTTCGGGGGCGCGAATGTAGTGTAAATTACAAGGGATAGTGGCCTCGAGGGCGCGAATGTGGACGGAGACGCACATGTGGCGTAACTTACGAGGGATCGTGGCCTCGGAGACGCGAATGCGGCGTAATTTACGAAGGGTCGTGGCCTCGGGGGCGCGAATAAAGCGTAATTTGCGAGGGATTATGGCTTGGGGGCACGAATCTACAGTATTTTTACATGTCCCACGCCACCCCTCAGAAATTCTGAGAACCCTCTCAGGAGACGCTAAGCAGGGCCCTTTTCGGCTCCCCCCCCTCGCGCGGACAGTAACAATTTACAGTAGGAAGCAGAAAGCAGTATTGTAACAATGGAAGCTGGAAACTGGAACTGGTGCAGGGAGCAGCAACCTTAATCCTCGCAGCCTGATGGCCCCGCAAGGGGGCCGGCGGATTCGCAACGTCGGATGTTGTAGCAGGGCGTAGCATTAGATGGCATAGCATGGTGTTGACGATCAGCGCGTAGCATGACCTAGCATGGCGTGGCGACGTCCCGGAGGCTTTTTCGGCCCAGGGAGTCAACGAATCGACAGTGAATGTGGAATCGCTTCCGGTTGTTCTTGTTCGGGGGGCATTTTTTATATTAAAACAGGAGATGTTTGGGCTTATTTGGAAGGAGAAAAAACCATGTCGTGCCACGGCGCTGAAAATAATGACGCCAGCGCTGCAGCGGGAGCACGATTCGGAGCGAGCAGAACGCGGAGACGAGGCCAGCGCTAGAGCGGGAGCACGATTTGGAGGACGCGTAACCTGACAAAGCATGGCGCGGCGACGCCCCCAAGTGTGTGTGGAGGCATCTGCGACCCAAGAATCGACACCGAATGTGTCATCACTTCCGATGATTGCTTCCGGGGGCATTTTTTGGTTTGATTTCGGGGCCTATTTGGAAGGACCGAAAACCATGCCGTGGCATGGCGCTAGAAATAATGACACAAGCGCTGCAGCGGGAGCACGATTCAGAACGAGTGGAAGCGCGGCAGTGAGGCCAGCGCCGCAGCGGGAGGAAGATTCGGAACGAGCGGTAGCCCGAACATGAGGCCAGCGCTCCAGCGAGAGCAGCATTTTGAAACAATCCCAAGCGAAAACCCGTTTCGCGGGAATCTTGTGTATAGAAAGCCAGTGCGCGGAGGGGGGCCGAATATTCCCTGGACGTCACCAGGGGGGAGAGGAGAGTAGTACTCAAATTGTGTACACATTGTTCATTTCTAATTCTTCGAAAGTTCTTTGGTTTTCTTGGGGGCCAAGATCCTTTCACTTCTAATTGTTCTCTCCTGGGCCTCTTCCTGGCCACTAGGGGGCCAGGAGCAATCAGACACGAGCACAACTAGAAAGGAGCACGAGCAGACACGAACGACGTGTCATTCATTACCTTGTGCAGGGAGGAGGGGGCAGGAGGGGAAAGGGGGGGGGGGCATGGAGGAGGGCCTCGCCGCCCCGGGGGGGGCCGGGTGCTGCCCACGGGGCCGCCCTCTGCGCGCGGGTGCCTCGCGGGTGCCGCGCCGAGGGGCGCGCCCGTCCCCTTGCTCGGCGCCCCGAGCTCGGCCGAAGGGGGGCGCGCCGCCGCGCCGCCGCTCGGGCCCTCGGGCGCCGACGGGCGCGCTGCGGGGGGCGGCCTCGGCCACGCGCGGGGGGGTGGGCTTCCCGGAAGCACCCCTGCCTCTGAATGGAGGATGATCCCTAAGGGCTTGACGACTCTTCGCCAATCGACTTGTGGGGATCGAGCCGGATAAACCCAGGTAAATGCAGACAAATCCAGGTAAATGCAGATACATCTAGGTAAATTCAGGGAAATCCGAGTAAGTCCAGGTAAATCCAGAGATCTTCAGGGACAGTTGGAGCAAATTGCGGCCGCTCTAGCGCGAGTCGAAGGACGGCAGAAGTCGTTAAGCCTTCAACGAGATGACGATTAATAAATGACCGGGGGTCGTGATCACGCGGCGGCGCCCGGGATGACGATTAGAAAAGACCGGCCACGGGCTGCAAACCTATTTTTCGAATCGTTCTCCTCCAGTCAGAAAATTGTGCAGGAATAGCAGAATACTATTTTTTTAATCGTTCTCTCCCATTTTTTTTTATCGTCATCCCGCATTCGGTGCGGGCCTCGTCTGTAGATGTGGGGCCGGGGCCTTCTGAGGAGCAGCGGTGCCTGCTCAGAAGCAGCCTCCTCCCAAGACGCCCCCCCCTTGCCCCTACCCCCCTGTGCGCGCCTGCAGCGGCCGCTGCCAGAGAGGCTGGAGCTGGAGATCGAAGCGTTGCCATCTTTTCACAACGGACGTTTTCGCCCCGTTTCGGGACCCAGGGCCCTCTCGGATCGATCCGGCTCGACAAGTGACGCAGAAAGATATGGGGTCCAGGGCTCTGGTCCTGACTCAGTTGTTGCGCAACGTCAGGTCTCAGGGGAGGTGGCGGGCAGGCGTGCAGTAAGAGACGGGGGTCAATGCCATCGGGGGCCAGCCAGAGCGCCAGATCTTGCAGGATCCTGCAAAGCCAGGGCTGCATTGACCCGGGCTAGCGCGCAGGATCCTGCAGGATCCTGCAGGATTTGGCAGGATCCTGCAAAGCCAGACTGACCCGGGCTTGCACTGACCCAGAGCAGTGCGTCCCCGAGGCGGGCGTGCAGTGGAGCGCCTTGTCGATGGAGCGAGCGACGAGGGACGGCGCTCCCGTCCCTTTTCCCCCCTCGTCCCCCCCCTCACACGCGCCGTCCTCGTCGCAGCGACGGCCACTCGCCGTCGTTCTGCTGCCGTCGTCGTCGAGGCCGCCGCCGCCGTCGTTGTCGGCCGTTGTCCTGGTCCTACAGTAGGCGGGTAAAGGAAGAAACCGGCCTGCCAGCCGGTGCCCCACAGAAGTTTTTCATCCCCCCGATGGCCCTGGGGCCCACAGAAGCCTTGGGACGCTCCAGAGAGCTCAACACTCGACGGTGCCCCTCGATTTCTCATCGCAGGAGTTCTTACCCCATGTGCCGGCGCCGTCTTTTTTCCGGTCGTCGCCGTCGCCGCCGTGCTGTAGTCGCAGTCGCCGCTGTCGTCGTTCTGGTCGTCGTCGCCATCCCCCGCGCCCTCGCGCAGCCGCGCCTTCGCCGCGACTTGCCACCGCCCGACTGCCGCGCCGAGGCCCGCGCCAGGCAGCAGCTGGAGGAGCTGCAGCGGCGCGAGGCGGCCGTCGGCGCTGAGGCGAGGCGCGCGGAGGCGGCGCGCGACGAGGCGGCGCGCCAGGCCTGCGCGGCCCCCTCCGGGCCCGTGGGAGGGCCTATAGGTCAGAGGAGGGAGAGGTACCCGCACCGCTGCCCTCCTCTCGTTGTCCCCTTTTTTGGCCTCCTGGGGGCCCTCGCCGTCACCGCTGGACTCGCTTCGCAACTCCGAAGCTCTGGTCAGAACGCACTCCAGGAGAGGGCCGTGAAGTGGCGGCATCGGCACCTTTGGGTTCCCCCACTTGGGGCAAGCTATAGGAGCGCTCGCGCCGTACCTGACGTCCTACGCCTGCCACCCAGTCCTTCCCGTTGCGCCTTTTTGTTTCCATCCGCCGGCGCGTACTATGGCGGACCTGGACCTCCAACGGGGACCCCATGGTGTTATGAGCAATCGGCAGGGGAGGGGGTAGGGGGTTGGAAAAACGAACTCCCAAACAATTCACGCCCTCATGGGCTGGTGGGATCTTCCCAGGCACAATCGGGGGACCTGTTGCCTGCTGTTGCTCTGGCTTGAGCTGCCGTCGGCTTGTTTTCCCTCTGTCCCGTTGCCTGTAGCAGGACGCAGCCTCTGTGCCGATCGGGCGTCGCGAAGCGTAGCGGGTTCGTTCTTGTCCAGTGCCAGGGATTCCATAGAGTTCGACCGAATCTTTCCGTACGGGTTTCGCGCCGTTCTTGTTATTGTCCTGTGACAAAGTGTTTTTCCCGAAGAGGCCCACAGTAACAGCAACACCAGCCGTCTTGTGAAGGAGGAGGAGGAGGAGGAGGAGGAGGAGGAAGAGAAGGAGGAGGAGGAGGAGGAGGAGGAGGAGGAGGAGGAGAAGAGGAGGAGGAGGAGGAGGAGGAGGAGGAGGAGGAGGAGGAGGAGGAGGAGGAGGAGGAGAAGGAGGAAGAGAGGGCTATCCAGCGGCTCTGGAGGCCACCAGGACCATCCACGAGCTGGAGGAGGCCTCGCGCAGGCGCGCCACGGAGATCCGCCTGCGCATCGAGCTCGAGGAGACGCGGGGGAGGAGCAGGAGGCGCAGGAGGAGGGATGGTGGGTGGTGGTGATGATATATACTCCAGATTTCGTAATAAACGGAGGGGGGTCTCATTTCGGGGGGGGGTCTCTTCCAGGCTATCTTGGAGGGCCTGGGGGGGTCTGGGGACGATGTTTTGGAGGGTTCTCCCACGGGGGGGGGGTCTGAAATGGCTTGTCTTGGAGGGTCCAGACCCCGTCCCTTTTATTACGAAATCTGGAGTATGATGGTGGAGATGGTGATGATGACGACCAGGGTGGTAATATTGATCACGAGGCTGCTGCTGATAACGACGATGCTGGTGATGATGTTGCTGCTGCTGCTGCTGACTGTCATGATGCTCACGAGTACGAGGATGATGAAGATGATGACGATGCTGAAGATGATGACGATGATGACGATGCTGACGATGATGATGCTGATGAGGATGATGCTGCTGGTGATGTTGATGATGACCAGGATGGTGATGGTGATGGTAATGGTGATGGTGATGATGATGGCGCTGGTGATGATGATGACCACTGCGATGGCGATGGTGAGGACGGTGATGATAATGATGATAATGCTTCTGGTGCACACGATGATGATGAGGTTGATAATGATGTGGACGATGCTGCTGATGATGATGATGATGATGGTCCTGGTGATGATGATGAGGATGCTGATGGTGATGTTGACGATGGTGACGATGATGATGACGGTGGTGGCGGTGGTGGTGGTGCTGAGGATGCCGACGATGATGGTGATGATGGTTATGACGCTGCTGATGATGATGGATGATGATGATGCCGATGGCAGTGACGACGATGATGCTTATGTTGCTGATGATGGTGTTCTCGACGATGGGCACGACGACACCGATGATGATGACGATTGATGATGATGATGGTGATAATGATGATGAAGCTGATGCTACCCAGGCTGTTGCTGCTACTGGCAGTTTCTGTTGGTGCTGACGACGACGGTGTTGATGAGTATGATGCTGCTGATGCTGATGATGATGGTAATACGGAGTATGATGCTGAAGATGATGATGCTATCATCTTGATGATGATGATGATGCTACTGGTGATGCTAATTTTGGTGTTGATGCTGATAACTATGCTGCTGCTGATGATCATGATGCTGTTGATGACGCTGACGCTGATGCTGTTGATGGTAATGCTGTTGACGACGATGATGCTGATTACTATGACTATGATGCTGATGATGCTGATCATGATGATGATGATGATGATGCTCATAATGATGGTTGTGGTGTCGATGATACTGATGATGCTGATAATGCTGATGCTGATGATGATGATGCCGATGGCAATGACGACGATGTTGGTGTTGATGACGCTGCTGATGACGATGGTGATTGTGATGCTAATGATGCAAATGCTGTGACTGATAACGACGATGACGACGACGGCGATGATGATGATGAGGATGATGATCATGATGAGGATGATGGTGATGATCATGCTGATACTGGTGATGATGATGGTGATGGCGATGTTGATGGTGATGGTGATTATGATGGCGATGTTGATGACGATGGAGGTGGCGACGACGACGACGGTGATGATGCTGATGATGACGATGATGATGCTTATGTTGCTGATGATGGTGTTCTCGAAGATGGGCACGACGACACCGATGATGATGACGATTGATGATGATGATGATGATGGCGGTAATGATGATGAAGCTGATGCTACCCAGGCTGTTGCTGCTACTGGCAATTTCTGTTGGTGCTGACGAAGACGATGTTGATGAGTATGATGCTGCTGATGCTGATGATGATGGTACTACGTAATCTGGTGCTGAAGATGATGATGCTATCATCTTGATGATGATGATGATGATGATGCTATTGGCGATGCTAATTCTGATGTTGATGCTGGTAACTATGCTGCTGCTGATGATCATGATGCTGTTGATGATGATGATGATGCTGATGCTGTTGATGGTAATGCTGTTGACGATGATGATGCTGATTACTATGACTATGATGCTGATGATGCTGATCAGTATGATCATGCTGATGATGATGATGATGCTGATGATCATGATGATGGTGGTGGTGTCGATGCTGATGATGATGATGATGATGATGATGATGATGATGGTGATGGTGCTGCTGATACTGATGATGATGATGCTGCTGATGATGATGATGCTGATGATGCTGAACATGATGATCATGATGAGGCGGAGGAGGAACAGCAGCAGTCGCAGTATAATGCCGACGAGCAGAAGGCGTATACTGAGAAGCATGAGGGGGCTCCATCCTTATATCTTCTGTGAACTTTCAACGGAATGTGCGGCGCTCAGGCGAGAGCCGCATCCGTGAAGCTGCTTGAGCTTGTCTCTACCATTCGGCGATTCCGTGAATTGCCCATACGTCTCAAGCGAAACTCCCGTCCCAGCCTCTGGACACGTCTGGTGGTTTGACAAGGGGGAGGTATTTCTGTCTAAGGGGGATGGCGCATGCGGAGGAGGCGGAGGAGGTGGAGGTGCACGCGAAAGGTGGAGACGGTGGAGGGGCAGGATGAGCAGGAGTAGGTGGAGGAGAGGGAAGATGACGAACTGTTGGGGAAGGAGGAGGAGGAAGAAGAGGATGATGATGATGATGATGAGGAGGAGGAGGAGGAGGAGGAGGAGGAGGAGGAACAGGAGGAGAAGGAGAATGGGGAGGATGAGGATGATGATGAGGAGGAGGAGCAGGAGGAGGAGATAGAGGAGGAGGAGGAGGAGGAAGAGGAGGAGGAGGAGGAGGAGGACACGTATGAGGAGGACGAAGAGGAGGAGCAGGATGAAGGGGAGGAGGAGGAGGCGGAGCAGGGGGAGGATGATAAGTTGATGGAGGAGGAGGAGCAGACGCAGGAGAAGGGGGAGGAGCATTAGCGTGCGGAACATGAGGCTTCCTCTCGTTCTCCCCCTCTTCCTCTTCCTGCTCCTCCTCGCCCTCCCCCTCCTCCACAATTACAGAATATGAATACTACTCTCCTCTCTCCCCTGGTGGCGTCCGGAAGATGTTCGGACCCCCTCCGCGTATGTTTTTTTACACAGGGTTCCCGGGAGTTGTTTTTTTTCATAATGTTGCTCCCGCTGAAGCGCTGGCCTCATTTTCGGGTCGTTCCGAATCGTGCTCCCGCTGCAGCACTGGCCTCATTTGCGCGCTTCCGCTCGTTCCGAATCATGCTCCCGCTGCAGCGCTGGCCTCATTTCCGCGCTTCCGCTCGTTCCGAATCCTGCTCCTGCTGCAGCGCTGGCGTCATTATTTCCAGTGCCATGCCACGGCATGCAATGCCATGCTATATGGTGTTCCGCTGTGCGATGCCATGCCTTCAGCTGCAATTCTAGGATACGCAGTGCTTGACTACGCAGTGCCACGCCATGCTATGCCATGCCACGCTTTGATCTTCAACGCCATGCTATGCCATGTTCTGTTCTGTGCCCCTGCGCGATGCCATTATGTGTTGCGATGCAACTCTTCACTACGCAACGCCACGCCATGCTATGGCATACTACGCTCTGCCGTGCTCTTCTACGCCCTGCCATGCCGTGCTCTAGGATGCATCGCGCACTCTCTCGGGATCATTGCCCTGCTCGACATCCGACTGTGCGAACAGAGAGGGGATCTACGCCATGGTAAGGGTTGGGAGGGAGTGGTAGGACGTCAGATATGACGCGAGCGCACCTAGCTTGTCCTCCCCCCTCCTCCCTCTTCCCTCTTCCTCCCTCCTTGTCCTGCGGGAGTTCCTGCTTCAGATTCGAGTGATGACGCAGGGAACGCGTGCTCGAGGACCCACGCGCGCACCTCGAGGCGCGCCTCCGCGCCGCTTGGGGCACGCCCCGCCTCCCCCCCCTACCAGTGGAGGGGAGCTCCGCCTCCCCTCCTTCTCGCCTTGCCGATCTAGGGCGATGGCGTCCACGATCGGTCTCGGCCAGCCGCCTGCGAACCTCTCCTCTCTCTCTCTCTATCTCTCTCTCTCTCTCTCTCTCTCTTTTTTTGTTCTCTCTCTCTCTCTCTCTTCTATTATGAAGGCCTTACGGCCAGTGCCGCCGACCCTGAAGACGACGACGACGACGTCGACGGCGACGACGACGCCGCCGGCGACGAGGACGAGGACGACGGCGACGGCGACGACGGGCACAACGCCGAAGGGGGTGGTTTTAGGGCCTTCTGGGCCTTTTGGGGCCTGTTGGGGGGGCTCCTGGGGCCACTTTTGGGCCTCTTGGTTGTCTCTTGGGGCCTCTTGGGGGTCCCTTGGGGGCCTCTTGGGGCCTCCAGGGGGCCTCTTGTGGCCTCCTGGGGGCCTCTTTGGGGGGAACGTCTTAGGGCTCTCTTGGGCTGTCTTGGGCGGCTCTTGGGCTGTCTTGGGGCCGTCTTGGGCCCTCTTGGCGCTCTCTTTGGGCCCTCTTGGGCTGTCGTGGGCGATCTTGGGGGCCTCTTGGGCCGTCTTGGAGCGTGGGAAAGCCGAAATGGCGGAAACGCACACATCTTTCAAAACTCAACGAAAACTGATGATTTTGGCCTCGTGTCTTGAGACGCCTCTTGGGGCGCTCTTGGGGCGTCTTGGAGGCCTCTTGGGCCGTATTGGGGCCAGTCTTGGACACCTCTTGGGCTGTCTGGAGGCTACTTCGGCGTCTTGGACCGGTAGTTCGTCGATTCGGGGCCCTCCTGGACCGTCCGGGGGGCCCTCTTGGCCGTCTATAGGAGCTTTTCTGGGCCCTGGGACCCCCTCGGGGGGGGATCGTATTCTGATCCAGGACCCCGCCCGGGACCCCCCCTCCCGGGGACCCCCCCCCCGGGATTCCCCCCCCCCCCCCGCCCCGGGGAAGGGATCAAAGGGAAAGGGCTTCCCTTGACGCCATGCGACGCTGGTCTGAGCGAGAGCGGCGACCTCGATGCGTGAGCGGTGACGTCGACGACGAGGCTCTCGACGTGGGAGCGGTGACGTCGACGACGAGGCTCACGACGAACAGCGTCTTGACGACGACGAACCGCGTCCTCTCTCTCTCTCTCTCTCTCTCCTTCTCTCCCTCCCTCCCTCCTTCTCTCCCTCCCTCTCTCTCTCCTCCCTCCCTCTCTCCTTCTCTCTCTCTCTCTCTGTCACTCTCTCGGACAGAGGAAGCCCCGCGCGGCACAGCAGCACGTTTGTTCGCCCCGTCCGCCGTTTGTTCCCCCCCCTCCTCCTCGCCCCCTGGTGTCCGCTCGCCTCGACGGACGCGCACGCCCTTGGGCGGCAGGGTCCTCTTGTCTTGCTGACGTGTGCCAGGGGCATCCATGGAGCCAAGACGATGCAGCAAGGCCACGCAGCCAGTTGAGCGATGAGGGGAACGGGGTTCGTTTTGACGGGGCTAGGACCAGAGCGTTCCGGAACGCTCTTAGAGCGTTCCGGAACTCTCTGAGAAGGCCGCAGTGCCCGAGATCTCCAGATCCGCGGGATCTCAGAGATTTCTGATTCATCCTCACCCGACTTTCTTGTATTCATCCGCGTCTTGCCGTCGTGTGCCAGAGTCGTTGGCTACAAATGGTATGGTTACGCTTTGGTGGGGTTTGCGATCGACACCGTTGTGGCCTGGACCTGTGGAGCATGACGCTGTCCTCGTCAGGCCTCCTCGGGGCGCGGCGGAGAGCTCCGTCGAGGTCCTCGCCCGCCACCCAGGGTGCCCCCTCAGGGTGCCGGTTGCAGACCACGCCCTTTGCACACCACACCCTTCGGGGTCGCCGACAGAGGCATCCATCGGGTCAGGACGCTGCGACAAGGCCAAGCAGCCAGTTGAGCGACGAAGAAAAGTGGGCTCGTCTTCGCCGGCATTCACGCGCAATCTGCCCGCGCAAGGTCGCGCGTAAGCGCCATCGTTTCCAAAGTGGTGTGCCGTGCTGGCTGCCCGCGTAAGCCTTGGCATATGGTCGCTATGCCATTTCGCATACGACCCCTTCCTTTTGTCGCTCAGTTGCCGTCTCTACCGCGTCCCTCAGGAGGACTCGCGTCGGAATCGTGCCAGAGGCTGTTATCTCCAGCAGCAGGGATGGGGGCTCCTACTTCCTCGGGTCCTCGTCGCTGGCGAGCCCGTCGAGGATCGGGGATCGAAACGGCCGGGGTCGAGGAGGCGGCGGTCTTACACAGTCAAGACGCAGAGCTGCAGACCACCTTTTGGCTCAGGAGGGGCCCCCGGTCTTCGGGGCACTCCTTAGTGCTAGGTTGGGGATCCTCTTCGTGCCCAAAGGCTCGCCGTGGCCAGAAGAGCCCCTCCGTTCCTTATGCAGCCTGCCCTCCTCCTCCTCCT